ATCTGGCGCGGCCGGAGAATGCCGGCGCCTGCTGCCTGGGGCTGCTGTTTGAGCTGAGCCGTGCGCTCGAGGCCGGGACTCTGCCCCACTATTTTCTGAGCGGCCGAAAGCTCTGGGCAGGGGACAGCGCGGCTGCGCTGCTTACGGCGTTGGCCCGGCTTCGTGGGGACCCTGCCCGGGCCCTGTGCGCCACGGTGGAGGAGGCCAAGACTGCGCGCAAGGGGGGCGGCTTGGCTGGTGTGGGAGGCGGGGCCCATTAAGGACTCCTACCAGCGTGGAAAGTCCCTCACTTGGGAGACACTGAGCACCCTGGACCCAAAATTCCGTTCAAGAAGGCATCCTTGCGGTTCCCTCCCATCATTCCACTCGCCTCGCGCTCCATCCCGGGTACAGGTCTTTCCCGTCTGGCTTCTCTGCTCTCCAAACCTGTGGCCAGCATCCCTCTTGCCCTAGTACAGCCTCTAGCAACTATCTTCCCCCAGTTCTTACGGTCTCTTCGGAGTCTATAGGCGGGAGGGGGAGGATAAATGGAAAGGAGAGCAGTATGGAGATCAGAGACAGACTAATTTGTCTCACACAAAAGCAATCATATTAAGGAGGCCGGATTTCGCCCCAAGCTAGATCTCGACTCCCTCCCCCCAATCTCTTCAGTTATTACCCCCACTTTCCTCATTTAGTTCTGTCCTCCCATCCTGGGCCGTAGGGTCCCTTCACTCTCTGGGTGCCCACCCTTCCATTGATCTTAAGCCCCATCTCCCTCCCCTCATCCAGGGTTCCATTCAATGGAGTCACCTTGGTTCCTCCTCCTCTGAACACCCAGATATGCGGCCCTGCCTCTAAGTCCATCCCCACTCCCTGCCCCTAAGGAACCCCAGGGTTCCTCCCGCCCAACTTCACCCCCTTTTCCTGGCGTCTCCGCCCCCTGCCCCGCCCCCAGGCTGGCTCTTGGAGAAGCGCGAGCTGCGGTTGCGATTGCCGCGGCCGCCTCAGCTTCCCACTGTCGCTGCTGCTACTGCTGCCACCTCTACCGCCGCTGCACTTGGTCCAGCCGCCAGGCCGTGCTCTGATTTTGCCGGACCAGGGCGCTCTGCGGGGACACCTTCACTCTTCTGGGGGCCCAGGACGCCTAGCCAGGCGTGGAGGGAAGCTCCGTTTGCGGGGGACAGGGAGGGAGGAGCCTGGAACCCGGGCCAGCACCACCCGTCGCGGGATCTACAAGACAGGACAGGTTGAGGGGCGTCGGGGAAAAGGGGGTTGCTATAGGTAGTCCCAGGGAGGAGGAGGAAGCCCTGTAGCAGCGATGCGCTCAGATTTGTAGGGGGCCTGTTCACATTTGGGAACTGGTGACAGGGGCGCACTCTTTTGCGGGGCTGGTTGGATTGGAGGGTGTGGGATCTAAACAGCACCCGCTGTTCCTGAGGAAATTAAGGGGCGGCCAGAGAAGAAAAAAACCACCACCAAAACGGATGCTCCTTATTTCCAGTTGACAGAGGGCCCCCCAGACACCTACCTGGTGTATCCACCAGGAAGGGTGGATTTGGAGGTGACTTCAAAAATAGTGGAGGGTAACATGGGCTCAGCAATTTGAACCCTGAGCCACTAGAAATGGGGGTGACTTGGTGAGAGAGAAAAAAAGGGATTGTCTAGAGACAGAGTCTGATAACCCCTTCTCACTGAACAGGAACAGCCTGGATATTCCAAGACATAGTTTGGGGGGATTTCAGTGGGGAAAAGTGGGAGATCCTCTTCACTTCGAGGGTGGCAAAGTTGGGTTCTTCCCTGACACTGGCAGGGCCCCAGCAGGGGTGGGGTGAGCTAATATTCCCAAAGCTAAGGATCCACATCCTTTAGATTATAAAAGTGGATTTGGCAGGAGTTCAGGGGCCCTGAAATAGGGTGAAAAGATGCCTGGGGATGTTGGAACCACATATTGGAAATGTTGAGGGTTATGACTTTGGTATAGGGTAAGTGGGGACAGAGATACTGGAGAGCAGGGGAGGGGGCGAAAGTCCAGGGTGGGGTTGCCTGAGAGGTACATAGGCTGCTGGGTCCAGTGGAGCTAGCAAGGGGGCCCGAGGGTGAGAGCTGACGCTTGGGGTGGTGGTGGTGGTGGTGGGGTGCTGAGGCTTATCCCTAAGGTCCTGTGGGTGGGGCGGTGAGTCGGGGAAGAGCGTCAAGAGCATGCCGTGGTGAGCGGGCTTCTCTGGGGGAGCCCAGCGCCTGCTGGTTTGGGGGTGTCTCCTCCCGGGGCGCCATGGCGGCGCTGGCCAGTAGCCTGATCCG